ATCGGAGAACTACTCCGCCCAGAAACTTAGCCTGATAAGGGTGGCGATACACGTGCGATAAGATATCGGACCCAAAAGGTCAAGATGCCAGCCATTAGTGTTTCGTTGCTGGGGTAACAGAAGGCCCTGTTTGGTGTCTACCGCTGGACTGAAAATCCTGTCATGCGATCGAATGATAAACACAGAAAATGCGAGTTGGATTAAATCCGAATACGCGAGTTGTTGAGAAGGCTGGTGAAAGTCGCTAAGCGACACAGCATGTATTTTGAGACATAAAGTTGTAAGGTACTGGCTGCCGAATGTGATGGTGACTGAAAGCTGGGGCGCAGGGAATCGCCTGCCTCAGTGCGGTCGATCAGGCGATCGATCGAGTGGACGAATGAGTTTTTAAACACTCAGCTAATTGCACATTACCTCGGACTTGTGAAGAGAAGGTTTGCGTTCAGAGCCGAAATGATTTCTTTCTCTTGACACCGCTGGGAGAACCAGACAGGCAACATAGTGACAGGGCAGAAGAAGCTGATATGCCGGACCTCGCTGTCGACTGCTCTATAGATGACGGAAAGCACGCTGCTTGACAACTGGAGAATGTGGAAAGCGAAGTGGACGGATTTCGTCTCACTGACTCGGATTCCTATCCGATGCCTTAGCAGCTTGCTATGTTCAGACACGCTATTGGCGACGAAGCCAGGCGAGTATTTGAGATTTTGGATCTCAGTAATGCGGATGAGAAGGAACCGGACATCTCAGAGATAATCAAGAGATTTGGCGAATTTTGCAAAGGCCATGCAAATGAAACGTATCAAAGATAGCTGTTTTTTGGTCGCAATGGCCAACAGGATGAGTCAGTCGAGAACTACATTACAGAATTGAAAGTTCTTACGCGAACGTGCAACTTCTGTAACTGTATGCGGGACTCTCTGATACGCGACCGCATCGTAATCGGATTCGGAAATGACGACCTCCCTCGAGACCTTCTGAAGCAGAAGAACGTGTCATTACATAAGTGTGTGGACATGTGCCTTAGCGAAACAATGTCATCACGAAAGCTCCAGAATTTGCGGACTTGCACGACAGAAGGACTTTGTACAGTATCGAAGACCAAGGAAGCCCTATCCCTGCAGCAGCTCCAACAATGCACGGAGGAGGACGAACAGTGCAGGCTACTGAGGCAGACGATAATAGACCGATGGTTTGAAGACAAGAAAAAATTGCCCAGTGTTAACTCCGTTCTTTCATTTTCGCGACGAACTCATCACCCAAGACGGATTAATAGTCAAGGGCAACATGATAGTGCTTCAGAAGGCATTGCAACGTTCAATGCTACAGATGGTACACTACGCACATTTGGGAATCAACAATTGCGTGGCAAGAGCACATGGGCTGGTCAGGAATGACTAGTCAAATAAGCGATTAGGTATCAAACTGATTAACATGCAGGACCCACGATGTGCGCCAGTCAGAGGCGCCGAAGATGCTTCGTGACATTCCGGATAGGCCCGGGCAGATGGTCGCACTGGACAATCGTGTTCACGACGGGAAGAGCTATTTGATTGTGGTAGACTATTTCAGTAACCACTTCGAGACTGATGCCCTTAGGCCAACTTGCACGCAAGCCATAGTGAACAGGTTATGGTGTCAATTCGCTCGACATGGAATCCCCGAGGTGGTGATTTCCGACAACGGGCCGCAATTCAATAGTGTAGAATTCCGTGCTTTTAGCAAAAAGTGGGATTTTCGGCATCAGCTCATCAGCACGTATCACAGCCAATCAAATGGGAAGGCTAAATCAGCAGTGAAGGAGGCGAAGCAAGTACTTACCAAAGCCAATGAGACCCACGAGGATCCCTACATAGTGCTGTGGGAGAGAAGAAACATGCCGTATACCGAGATCGGATTAAGTCCGGTGCAGCGACTATTCAGTCGCAGAACAGGAACGCTGCTACGGGCCGCTACAATGATACTACAGCCCGAGATAGCAACGGACGCTACTGTGCACAACCGACTACGGAAGAGAATGCTAAAACAAAAGAAGTACAATGATCGTGGATCGAGATGCCTCTCACCCCTGGCTGTAGGAGAAGTATGGGTGCAACCAATACCAGATTCGGGAGAACGTTGACGGAGGGGAATGACTGACGGCGGCAGGGGTGCCAGGAGTTACGAAGTCACGAGGTAATGTAATCTCAACTGTCCATCAACTAGACAAAGAGCCAACAGAAAACCATGGAGATCAGTGGATAAGAGACAGTCATTGTGTCATAATCATCGTGGCATGCTGGTTGAAGGTGAGCAACACACCTCAGCTAATATGCCGCAAGAAGAATGGAACATTTTCACAAAAAGTAAAACAAAACATTTTTAATTCGCGTTTCACACGCCGATGTTGCACTTTTTTGTCATTTTCAATGTTTGTAGTATTAAACATGTGAATCAATACGATACTGTACACAATGCTTCCACTGATTTCGGTTGTGGGCCATATCTTCAAGAGTGCTAAGCCATTGGCACTCCTCATCTTTGGGTCCCCATCCTGGAAGACATACGGATATAACAGCGGCTAGACACGACGTCAGCGATTTCAAGTGTTGCCGCCAAGTGGAAGGCAGACCACCACGCGGTCGCCTCCAGCCAGGTCCTTGACGAGCGAATAGAGCGCGATGCGGTAGACGCTCAGGTGCCATGCGTAGGAGGTGACCGAGCCATCACAACTGGCGCAACAAAACCAGTTTGTTGAAGGGAATACTCGCATTCCCCAAGATGCGACGTCGAACGTCATTACTATTAACTCCATATTGCCACCAAACACGAGCAATTTTCCTTAAGCAACCGTTATCGTAGGCAGAAGGACGACGCATGTCTTCCACGCGAATCGCCCAGGACTCGCACCCACACAACAATACTGAGCGAACTGATGCGCTGTAAACGCGGCCCTTTAGTGAGAATGAGACGTCACGACGACGCCACAAGTGCCTCAGATTGACAAATGCTGATCGAGCTTTAGCGATACGAAGAGAAACTTCTTTGTTGATAGTGCCGTCAGCAGAAACACAGGTCCCAAGGTAGAGGAAATTATCTACCTGTTCAAGTTGTGCACCTTCGAGAGTGAGCACGGGAGCAGGTGAATGTCAATGCTTGAGCAGTACTTTACACTTCGATGGGGCGAAGCTCATGCCATACTTAGATGCTTCAACCGCCAAACGATCCAGAATGAGTTGCATACTCTGAGGATCGTCACCAAGTAAGGCGATATCATCAGCATAATCTAAGTCAGTCGCGCGCTCACCCAGTAGAAGCTCTAGGCCAAAATGTTGGAAACCTTCTAGAGCATTCGACAGAACGTCTTCGATTGCGAAGCTGAAGAGGAATGGGGACATAGGGCAGCCCTGTCGCACACCGCTATTGACAGCGAATTGCGAGGAAAGCTTGCCATAGATCCTCACTCTGCCGCATGTATGAAGGTGAAGTGCTCGTAAGATGGCGATATATTTCTCTGGCACCCCGTTCTTTAGTAAGCAATGCCATAAAGCAGGTCGATCAACGGAGTCAAAAACGGCACGTATGTCCAGCAATACAACGATAGTGGGCCTGTGATAAATGTGGCGATGTTCGAGGAGCTGGCGGAGCGTGAAGATTTGATCCACGCATCCGCGGCCAGGATGGAAACCAGCTTATCCTTCACGGTAGTCTGATTCACGTACTGGGGATAGTCTGGGAAACAGAATGGATGCCAAGAGCCTAGAGGCAACTGAAATAAGACTAATCCCGCGACGATTTGCACATGAAGTGCGAGCGCCTTTCTTGAAAATCGGGACAATAACTGATTCTCCCCAAGAGGAAGGCACTTTCTCTTCAAGCCAGATTTTTGCGAACAGCGCGGTCAGCTGGTTTATGATTGCCACACCGCCGTACTTGAATAGCTCCGGAGGAAGTCCGTCTAAGCCGGCAGCCTTGAAGCGCTTCAAGCAGACTTCCGTTTCGCTGGATGGATTCAGTGGGACGAGCCAAGGTGGACAACAAGATGTACTGCATGTACTGATGGATGGTGGAGGCCAGTTGAACTGCGAGTGAAAGTGCTCGGCCCAGCGGTTCATACGCCTCTGTTGGTTGGTGATCGGAGACTCATCCACCTCACAAGTAACCTCACTAACACCAGGCTTCCTGAGGCCAGTGGACCAAAGGAGTTGGAAAAGCCTGCGAGTGTTGCCAGAGAGGGCTGCGGTCTCCATCTCTAAAGCATGCTCAGACCACTATATCTCGCGATCATTGCGTAGGCTTTGCTTGAGCAGCCGGTTCGCAGAACGGCGCCGCTCGTTGCAATCTGGTTCTGCGGGGATATCTTTGCGGCGTTCGAACAGCTCCAAAGAACGAGCAGAGATCAAAGCCGAGTGGACGAATAAGATTTTAAGCACCCAGCTAAGTGTGGATTACCTCAGACTTGTGAATAGAACGCTTGTGTGCAGAGCCGATGTGAGTTCTTTCCCTTGATGGGGCTGAGAGAACCAGGCACGCAACATCGAACACGTCAGGGAACACACGGGGTGGCCGATCAGTCAACTATTCCAAATGACTGTCACTTGTGTTAGGCAAATAAACATCACCAATGTGTGTGTCAACACCACTCATGCGCATTTTGAAGCTGTTGACTGTCTATGGAGACAGCGTGAAATCAACTCAGTAGCAAGAGGTAAAGGATAGAGAAATGCGGGCGGAGATATAATCATTGTTTACAAAGCACTCGCAATGTCTTCTCCCGGACGGGCAGGTGACCATTTGAGGTCACGAAGGAATTGTATCACCTAACTTGGTTAGGTCACGTTATCCGCGTGTTGAAAGCGAGCTTCTTTACGAGGAAATAATTGGTGATGTGCCATAGGCATCTAAATTAAATGGGAGAACAAACTGTGGCGACGCTAGGCCTCTTTCCGGACAGGAGCCGCCTCAAGATGGATCACAGTGGCTGTCAGGAATTTAACCCGGTGCAGCGAAGAAGACAAGTAAGTGACAGGTTTGTGTACAGCCCACTGATCACACATATTTTTTCGGTAAGATCTGCAGTAGGCTGGGGTCTCAAATCGGGGATTTGGTTAATCGAGCCAACCGGCGGTTGGGGACGACAGGCAGACATAAAATGGACAGCGAGTCGCTGGGGAGATCAGGGCGAAAACCTGTGGAATTTAGATTGCAGCTTGGTGAGCAGAAAAGTAGTTGTTATAAACCCCAGTGTGATTAATGAGGGGCGGGGAGGACGATTCATTGGTCTAGTGAGAGAATCGGTGTTAGCAAGGTAAACGGTGAACAGATGCGCACTTTGGTACACGAATCAATGGGGTCGTAGTCCAAAGGAAGTGGAGTGAATGATGAATCGTATGGATTCAGATGCTGCCAACGTGAAAAGTAAACTAAAGGATGGGTGGTCAACACATGTGCAACCGAAGGTAACCGAAAGTCGTCGAGAAGAAGGTCCCATTAAGTAGAGATGCGCAGTCTTGACGCGGCACACAAGTGTGCTGCGGATCCAGTTGTCACGACTAGCGCAGTTAGGATAACAATAGACAAAAAAGTTGGGGAATCTGTGCTAGAGTGCAAGAGGAGATGTAACGTGGGTAAAAGTAGTAGGCCACAAGGCAATGGATGGATGAAAAAAACCGAATTCGCGAGTGTCATTTGGAACACAATAGCACCATGCCTGGTAGCATGTGGTAAGTCCCGATACCATGCCATCACCTGGCTGCCATGTGTTTACACACAATCGGATGCAGCAACAACATATAATGCAGTGAAAGAAGACGACTAACGGGTATATGGAAGGACGGGAGCTAGCCACAGTAGGCGCTTCAAGCCTTCGAAACATTCCGATACGAAACCAGAGAATGAGGTTACAAAAAACAGCTAGACCACTGTCAAGTGTTGCTCGTTCAGCTCTGGCTTAGTAATCAAGACGAAAGCTTTCAATCAAAGTGGCGGGTTGCACTCTCAGATCAGGTTATCACTATCTGACGAGTCCAAATCGGAACGAAACCGGTTGGTCGCGGAGTGCGTTGCTGGGAGAGACTAGCTTCGAAACACTCTAACACCTAATTAACTTCAGTATTGCCCATCCGGCTCTCGCACCAGATGTGGGAAGCACCTAGTTTGTTCATGCATAAACAAACATCAGAAACGGATAAAAGGACAATCATTCTACCATACATCAACGATGTCTCTGAGATGACGGCGAGACTGCTACTATCTTTCAGAATCAGAGTTGCTCACAAGCCGACAGAAACTATCCGAGACAAACTCTTCAATGGTAAGGACCGGCTTGGCAAAGAAGAAACAATTGGTGTGATTTACAAAGTCCACTGCAAAATTTGTAACAAATATTAGGTGGGACAGACAGGAAGGCAGCTCGGCACTAGGCTACATGAGCATAGCCTAGCCATCCGCCATGACCAGAACTCTCTGATGTCGGTACATATGGACGCCGAGAATCATGAGGATCATAGACAGGGCAAAAAGTCGAAAAGCACGCGAGTTCACCGAGACTTGGTACTCGGGGAAGAACTCAATCAACAGACACTTAGATCCAGATACTGCCTAAGGGTCAAATCAATACTCCGACCCAGATCAACATGACAAAGGAACGTTATTGAGGCGGACTCTAGCCAACAGTACGCAAGAGCTGACTACACGGTCAGCTCACGTGGACCACTAGACTTCTGATGTTCGAATCAAGTGATCAATAACCACTTAGATCTGTAAGTGGCCCGCATAATTCGCACTGATGATGTCGTCTAGCCTGACGATGAAACGTTTGCAGCCAAATTAGCCAGCTCGGAGAACACTCGCATACCCTCAGAGCCTGAGAAGAACACAAATATGCTGACGAACAGAATAAACCAAACGCGATTACCCGTGTGCGAAGCCACTTCAATTCGGTGTCAGCCAAAGAGGAATCGGGTTCCGTGACCAAGCATTTGAGGAGGAAGTTGGCGCTCCATTTGGGCTGCTTTTGACAGAGAGCTTGAATCTGCCGATACAGCGCTTGCAACGATGAACGCAATCGCTTCATGGGTTTCTGGTAAGAAAGCAGAGAGAGAGAGAGAAAGTACGACAAATAGCTTATTGTGCAATGAATGTCGCAATGAGTGAAGTCAGTGAGGCAACAAAATACTGGACCTCTCTGCAAAGCAGAAACGACTGGCGATAGTCTAGATCGATCCATCAAATACATCTAAGACAGAATGCGTCAATATACTGTAGTGAAAGGAGGAGACGCGGTTTGTTTCTCTTCGCTGGCGTGGCCAATCTGAACGTTTAATGCGTCCGATAGTACAACTGGAGTCGAGCACTTGGATGCGCAGAGCAGTAATGGGTGGTGATGGACAGCTTGGCTGTTGTAGCCAACAGCCAAGATCGGACGGATACCATGGGTGTCAAATCAAATTTCTCTCTAAGAAGCGAAATCAAGGCGACTGGGCCCGAGGGGGTAAAGTCGAATTTATAGAGCGGATGGAGCTGACGAGTCATCCGCAGGCATCGCGCACGCGTCCCATCCTAGAGAAGGTGGGTCAGAAGGGTGTGGAGCGTGAACGTCAATAATGATAGGGATCCCCTTGCCCCGATAGACAGCAAGTGAATCGAGAAGACGGATGGCTATTTGGGTTTTTAGCTCACCAAGAAACTATGACTCAAGCACGCGGAGGCGTCATAGACGCCGCTGTCTTCACTCTTGTTATCATGAAAAAGAGAAAACTGTTGTAAAATGGAAAGAGGAAATCCCATATTGCTTCGAAGGAGAAGGAGGAGACTGCAGTCCCCCTAACCCCTCTCACTGTTCGGAGGCAATTTTTATCATAGTTTAGTGTAATGAATATCTGGCAGTGCGCAACTGAGATGGATCTCTTTCGGATAACAAATAAAATGGTTCGGGACAACTGAAAGCACCAGGGGAAGGGATTTGACGCTGAGGGTGGACTGCAAGAGCAGCAACGAATTCGCAACTACAGCGCGGTGTACGGGAACTTTGTGTGTAAAAGATCCAAGAGACATATAATAAAAGAAAAAGAAAATAAGTTGAGTTAACGCTCCCAGATTTAATTATTTCATTCGATGAAGGCAGAATTTTAATGTATAAGCATACTGGAATCACCAAGCCATAATTCCCGCATGTCATTCGACCTGCCATTATTGTTCACTGCTACGAGGTCAAGTGCTGCGCAATCGGATCGCGACACGTAATCTCACTCTGGTGCATGAGTTAATTCGGAATGAAACTCGGTTAGTCCAATCATTGGGATCGGACATCCGAAGTGAAGATGTTCCGTGTTGTTCGTTCCCACCGATATCGTCCTTATTTGGATTTCTCCGCCACAAATAGCCGGAGCCGGAGCCGGAAATGGAACTCGGAATGTAGTGGTTGAATGCTAACGCGTTCAAATCACTAGACCATTTTGCTTCGTAAGCAATGCTGGTTAGGAAGTAAGCGTTGGGTTTCGGATATTGCGTATCGCAATTTAACTACAAGACAGGAACTTCAGTACCAAACAATGAAGTCCTAACCGCTGGGGCCAAGCTTTGCTCGCAGTGTCCGAGGAAAATCCACCCATAAATGATAAGTAAACAAAGTAAATCGTCAGCTGTAGGCCGTAACGGCGCTTTGCTGCCACGCGACCATCACCAGTCGCGCGTGGGCTGAGTATACCGCGAGGACACCTGCCCCTACGCAGATTCGAACCGGTGACCTTATGGATGCAAACCAGACGCGCATACCATTCGGTCACCGGCCGACATAAATGGTAGATCAGCACACAAGACCGACAGTTCGCTGATACACGTAGGAGCTGGTTATGAAAAGAGAGGTCGCCAGCACCGACGTGGATTTGAGCCAGTGACCGACAGATTATTAGCACTGTCATCACTATCTACACTATGAGTGAATTAATCGTAAGTTGGTGCGTGACGCAAGCAACAGAAGGGACACGTTTTGCTACCTATTAGGCATAATTCGAGACCAGCATAGGTTCGGGAAACAGCACACATGCACCGACACATAGCGACGAATTAAGTAGTGTAAACAATCCAGTGCCCCGCAGTTGCTGCGCTGTAAATATATGGCTATGAACAGCTACCAGAGATGTAGTACATCGACTGGCGTTGTAATTATAGTGACGGGTACATATATGTGGAGGTGCGAGAAAATAAGCTCATAGCTGGCTAGATACAACCGTGTTGCGCATGGTGTGGTGGCAGTGGAGCCTCCGTAACTCGGTGCACGGATGGTGTTTGATCACTGAACCACCGGTGCCACTTCATGCAACTGAGCGTACGCAATACCACAGGAGATGCGGTATAACTTGCAAAAAATAGTGAGGAGTGGTGCGGTTGCAAATAGACGAACATTCATTTTGACACAGAGAAGCCCCTGAATTGGATTGCGATAAGCAACTACAGCAGAAAGAAACCAAAACCGAAAGCGTATCCCCCGGCAGAATTAAATTCAGGACAGTGACAGATGTTTTATCGGGGTCCAATGAGCTAGAGGCGAGCACACAAAAGATCACGGCTCCGTTGGACTACCTCTGAAAGAAGAGCTTACGGTCAGAGTGAAACCGACCGTTGAATGAGACAATCTGACCAACACCAGTTCATTACTTGGAGTGACAGTTGCAGAAATATCAGAATAGATCCATACCTTTGGTAGGGACTTCGAATCAAGTGCAGGCTGATCGGAAAGGTTGGCAGGTTTGAAGTTGTGTGTGTCCAAATCCACATAGGTGACACTAGGCCCATTGCTGGAGCCGCTGGTTGGCAGACGGAAGAAGTCGAAGAAGCGTGAATCCACACCGATCAGATAGGGGGAAGGGGATTCGATCACTTGCACATGGCCCATGTAGATGAACGGGATGTACACCACCGTCCACTGAAGAGGGAATATCATCTGGTGTGAACAGAGAACAAACAGGAAGAGATGAAAATGCCTGCGAAAAAACCAGAGCATCAGAGAATGCGCATAAAGGCACGACAGCTTACCGAGGTCAGAGCTTCACCGACTTGAGTGAGAAGGAAGTGTTGCACGGAGGTTAGCAAGATCTTTTGCTCCGTTAGCATGTGGACGAATAGATTGATGGTCAAATCGACGCCCAATTGTTTCAGAAGATAGAAGAAGGGTTCGCAACTAGAAGTGTGAGAAGGCCGAGAAGTTGGTGTGAGAGTTAAAATCCGTTTTTACTCAGAGTACATCGTCATCCACCTTACTCGACACACATCGAAAGTGTGCATGAGTTGACAGATGCTTCATCATAAACGAAACAGTGGCGCAAAGTCATTGGGATAAGGAAAATCAGTGGAAACAGGCTAAGTAACCATTAGCGGCAAAATCGACAGCAGTAAGAGTTACTCCAGTGGCACGAGTTTTGCTCAACCGGTGCGCGAAATGTCGTGGGTACAACCGACGTACTGACTTAATGTTCAATGGGAAACGGAGCAGTGTGGAACTAAGAAAAACAACAGCAGTAACAATTACTATTAGAATGACTAACACAACTAAAAGTATGACTACAACGGTTACTACGCACGAGAGACTTTGTCGACAATGGGCGTATATCATGGGCACATTACAAAGTATCTTGTGATGACTGGCAGGAGGTGGATCCATGGAAGGTGTGCAAAGTGCTATTGAGCAATCCCAACACGAAAATGTTGGCAATCAATGAGGCGCTCCTAACTGTAATAAACCGTTCGGTAAGGTGCGCGCAAGGGCAACTGAAGCAGTCTATCAGGTTGCCATGGTGATGATTGCGCTACCTTAATTTTGAATGGTTGTGGTCATGCAATCGTGTGGACAATACGTGTGTGTGGATGTGTTTGCCTATGCGTGTTACACGCAAGAGTTGTTATTTCAGCAGCTTGGTTGGTAGTATTGATCCAAACACCGACGACTCGCTAAAAACGGTTAGGGCCAATTGCGTTCCGTGATTATCTTCTGGTTTCAATTGGGAAATAGTTAGGGTTCGTGCAGAAACGAATTACCCTACCAGACCAAGACAAATCTCCACTGTGCCACGCATTGCTGCCGCACAACCCGTTTGTGACGCGCGGTACATTCACATGAGAGCGCTGTACGCACACAGTTCGAGTAGGGTGAGGGTTTATGGCAAACTCTCGCCACCCTTCAGTATCACCAGCGGTGTGAGACAAGGATGCCCGCCGTCACCTTTCTTCTTCAACTTCGCTATTGATGGAGTCATGGAAACAGCGTTCGCTGGACACGACCTAGATGGTGTGGAGCTACTCTCTGGTGAGCGACTTCTTGACTTGGAGTATGCGGACGATATTGCCCTAACCTGTGACAGCTCCCAAAATACCAAACAGCACTGGACCGATTAGCACTGGCTGTCAATCGTTTTGGGCTATGCTTTGCTCCATCGAAATGCAAAGTACTTCTCCAAGATTGGCAGGGACCCAACCCTGCGCTAACGCTTGGTGGTGATCTGCTAGAAGTCGTTCAAGAATTCAAGTACCCGGGCAGCTATATTAGCACCCGTGGGATTGAAGATGAGGTTACGAACCGTATAGCAAAAGCTCGAGGTGCTTTTGCCAATCTCCGCCACCTGTGGCGCAGACGCGACATTACTCTCGCCCTCAAGGGCAGAGTTTACAACGCGGTCGTCCGTTCAACTCTCCTATATGGCTGTGAAACCTGGCCCATCAGATCGACAGACATGAAGAGGCTCGTCACATTCGAGCATCGCTGCCTTCGCAGCTTGCCTCGTGTCTGGTGGGAGCACCGCGTGAGCAATGAGCGTGTTCGACGTCGCGTATTTGGTGCAGGAAGAGCGAGTGAACCGTTCAGCACCATTATATCACGCACCAGGCTCCGATGGCTGGACCACGTGTTGCGCATGCCAGCACACCGACTCCCGCGACGTACATTGTTTGCGCGTTGTGGGTGCGGTTGGAAGAGGAGGAGGGGAGGCCAAGTGGTGACTTGGTCGAGAGAAATGAAAACCCTCACTTCGAAGTTGGCGTCGGTTGGTGCATCCCGACTGCCTGGCTGAGGTCCTAAGAACGGTGACACGTTTGGTCGGACACACTTGCTGATATGGCTTGGAGCCGGCATCAATGGCGTTTGTGTTGTGATTTCCTTTGTCCATCCCCCCTCCTGTTTAGCATCCCCCTCCAATCACGCTCTCACTTGTTAGGCATAATACGACTCTCTTTTACGGCAGCCAGCTGTTAGCTCTCCGGAACGATGTCCATCCGTTACTGGGGACTCAGCGGGCGTGCCATTCTTTGGTTTCCTTTTCTTGTCTTTTGCATTGCGGCACAATAGCTGAGGTGTTTTCCACCTCCAGCTAACGTGTAATGTTGATGATGATGAGAGCAAATTTGGTTACGTGAGAAATTAGAACCTCGATGTGTGGCCTGTGCGATGGTGAGGCGGGTGCATATGCTTCGTTGTGAAATTCACATGAGCTGCTGCAAATAAGAACAAACTATGTCGTCGGGAGATGTCGAATGACGATGTATCAAGCTCCTGAATAGGCACATTATGAACTGCAGAAGTGCGCAGTTCAACTCTCTCTTTTGAATATGCATATGCACGAAGATGCAGATGATGCAAGCATCGACCTGTATCCCTGAGATGCGCAGTCACTTGTTAAATGAAGGGAAATTTTTATTTAGTTACAGTAGATGCGACTGCAAAGTGACATCAAACCATTCTTCGGCCGTGGTAGTCACAGGTGTTCGAGCTGAAGCAGCTGAATACTCATTCGATATGTATGGGAAGAATGATTATCAGACAAAAGGCATCAGCAGTACGGCGGTACGCACAGTACCGACGTTTCCTTGCTACGCAACCACCGCCGGTCGCACGTGGGCTAAGCGCACTTCAAGGGTCGCTCGATCCCGATGCAGGGTCGAACTCGCGCCTTCGGATTACTAAGCAGGCTTTTGAGCCTTAAGGTCACCGAACAAACGTTCGGTGAATGACCGCTGCAAGTTTCCTACAGCTTCTTGTCATCACTTTTTATTATGCTATCACAAGGCAGATTACAAGATTCCAAGATGAGAGAGAGGTGGTGGTTTTAAAATGCGCTATTCTAACGGTAATGGCATAGAATTCGTTCAACATAAGCCACAGATTGTCAGACCAAAGCTCCTTGATATTGGGCCTCGTCAAACAAGTTTGAGGTGGGAGGTGTTAATTACGAGTAGAGCACGGAATACTAGATCCGCCAGGAACCAAACAACCGCAAGAAATTGTGCTTAAAGTCCTTGCCGATAGCTTCACTACAGACGAGCAGGGCTTTGTCTCAAGGGAATGATCAACCGTGCGCTGCGCAGTCTAGCACATCGTAATTTATAGACATTACTGATAGCTGAAAAGTGCGGTAAGAAGAAGAAAGCTGTTCAGTGTATGTATTTCGTACTGTCTTCTGAGTACCAGTAATAATAACCGGTATGCGACTATATATAACTGTGGGTGCGGCCAAATAAACTTAAGATGCAAAGTGGATGAAGGAGGTTCTACTCCACGTCCATGGCAACCTAAAGCTGACAAATAATTGTGTCAAAAAACAATCCCGTAAGATTAGTAGGGTTATATCGCAGTTAGATTTCAATCCATGATAATCGGCTATACTTCCCATGGTTCAGTGGCATAAGCTGCAAGACACTACCGGTCATGGGTTCAATCCTCTGAAGGGGATCAAGAGAATGCGCACCACTGAGGAGCCCCAATAGGGCGAAACGATCGCCTGGTGCTTTGCCGAATTTGTAGTCCACGTTTGCGGCTTGCAACCAACTTGTGATGAAGCAAACACATCTCACTAGATGTTGGATTTGTTTGGAACAAATTTGCGCAACCAAGCTCGGCCAACTCTACATTGGTGGGTGACAAAACGCCAGCAACCTAATTGCCACGCTCGGCGAAAAAAGAACAACTAAAGGATCGGTTATATTCAATGGACCTACTAACTTCGTTGAGGTAAGGAAGAAACGAACCGGGTACGACTCTTCAGATGACAAGAACAATGGTTGTACAAGGAAAATAGTGGCAGCAACTGAAAGCAACCAACTGAAAACGACTTAAGGCATGATGATAGCGGTCATAGTTTTGGACGTCAAAGAACATCATCTTTGGCCACAACCGCTCTTAAGGTATCCAGTTGGATACCTTATGCATGACCAGAAATAGAAGGGAGATTGCATATTTGACGTCAACAGATTCTGAAATGCAGTTGAGGCAATACAAGTTAAAGACTACAGGATCATTGATCGAGGAAGCCATGCCTGGAATTGTCTAGCAGCCTCAACTAATTGCCCTAACAACCCAGTAAACGTCGAAGGTTTGTGCCGCAACGATAGATGTCGCTGATCATTGGGAGACTTCTTTTCAATCCGATGCTCTCAGATCCGGTGGCAAACGGGGTGAGGGAGCGTAGTTTTGCAAGGTCAGTTGGTGTTTGCAAATGGCCACTCCTGATCTACTGAGACCAAGTGTGAAACGCCCACGTTGGTTAGCTGATAAGTATCGCAAGTCACTGTCGTTGGCACATGTGGTTAAATGATGTCAAAGAGTGACCAGGTCATGAAGCGCGAATAGAATGGCAGAAACCAATGGAAAGTGAAGTTATGTTAGCGTATGCGAATCTCCCCGTGAACAGCATCAATAGGGGGTATAGAGCATATTTGGCATGATGCAATTGAGAAGTCGATGACCATTCTCGGTTTAACGTACAGTAGCACAAAGTGGCTCGTTGACTGGTAAGAATACTGAAACAATGGGTCAATTCGAACAGTCTTAAGGATTCTTTCCAACTTCTCGATGGCACGGATAAAAGTAGCCTGTCTAATAAGGCCACGTGCTTCACATACTCAGGTTCACTAACGTCACGTTACACAAAATTGCCAGCAAGTACGTGATTTGTCTGCGTTTTGGTTGTTCGCTACTAGTTCGTATCAGATTGTTGTAGGAACCCATGCTATCGCGCAGTTAAAACGCCAAGGTTCATTTTCAGTACACACCATGCTGCTATTGAATTGATGCGAGTGGCAATGAGCAGCCCGTTGTGTCAGAGTTGCTGTCTTCAATGGAAACCAGAAGTATGCCGGTATTGACAACAACACACGATATTTGGCCAATCGATAACAACTCTCACGCGGCACATACCAATGCGGGTGTGACAGCGGAGCCCGTTATGCAAAAGCAGAATCCACGGAACCCAAACGACCCGGATAAAGGAATATAATATGTCGAAATGAATTGCGAGAGAAACCGTCATGTGTATGACTGCTCTGATCGACCTCAGTACTCGGTCGAGGCCATCCCTTTCCTGGCCAAGAGCCAGCTCAGTGATAGAAATTGTGTTTCTCACCCTACTCTCTACTTCCTTCGTTCCGTTGAGGCTGTCACAATAAGTGTGCGTATAAAAATACATTTCTCAGCTTTATGGTGCGATGAGAGGGGGATGGCGGGGGTGTAATCTTATCATTTGTAATGTAATGTAATCCCAACAGTCTATTAAGTAGACACAGAACCAGCATAAAACCATGGAGATCAGCAGCTAAGCAAGATTCATCTCGTCATAATCAGCGTGGCATGCTAGTTGAAGGTGGGCAACACACTTCAACTAACATGCCGCAGGGAGAATGGAACATTTTGACAAAAAGTAGAACAAAACATTTTTAGCTTGTTTTTCACACGCCGATTTTGCTCTTTGTTGTCATTTTCAATGTTTGTAGTATTAAACATGTGAATCAATACAATACTGTACACAATTCTTCCACTGATTCTGGTCGCGGGCCATGTCTTCAAGAGTGCTTAGCTATTAGCACTCCTCATCTTTGGGTCCCCATCCTGGAAGACGTACGGATCCAACAGCGGCTAGCCACGACTTCAGCGATTTCATGTGCTACCGCCAAGTGGAAGGCTGATCACCACGCGGTCGCCTCCACCCAGGTCCTTGAAGAGCGAATAGAGTGCGACGCGGTAGACGCTCAGATGCCATGCGTAGGACGTGACCGAGCCATCTCAACTGGCGCAACAAAACCAGTTTGTTGAAGGGAATACTCGCATTCCCCAAGATGCGACGTCGAACGTCATTACTATTAACTCGATGTTGCCACTAAACACGAGCGATCCTCCTTAAGCAACCGTTATCGAAGGCAGAAAGACGACGCATGTCTTCCACGCGAATGGGCCAGGACTCGCACCCATACAAAAATACTGAGCGAACTGATGCGCTGTAAACGCATTTACTTCCATCTCAAGCTTGTTTGGTTACAAGCAATGTTAGATATGCATATACATGGCACTTATTGTTATTGGTAGTGAAGAGACAACAAGAAAACGAAGCATCCATCAGTCGTAATCTACTTGTTACTTTTCAAAAAAAAATTACGACAGAAACTAATGGATTCAAAGTTATTTACTATTTGAAAACCACTATCACTCAAAGAGACACCAAGGATCCAATATTGAAAGTAAAAATAAGAATATCAGAAGACGAAGGTTGTGGGGTGACACTGTCATTCCTTGCATACACTTCGGTCACGTAGATGCGACTAACAAAGGAATCAAAATAAGGTCATATGAAATCGACTGGTACGTTACATGCTACTACGGTATGGTCAGTATCACTGTCAGCTGTTTTTGAAAGGATGGTGGTCAGTTCTGTCGATCGATGACAATGGCCTCGAGGAACTAAAGAATGTGACTGCACATGAGGACGGTAAATGATATATGGGGGTCAACCTGGTGACCGGTGTTCATCAGAGGCCACGTAATCGTAGGGCCAACATTGCTTCCTGATTTCCCTGGTGCAACCGTCGCGCGTTCCATCCAATGCGGAGCCAATATGTTCGTTGATTCGGACACCTATATTTCGATCAGTGCGGCCAACATGGCTGTCTCCACAGCTACATGTGAATTTCTAAAACCAATGGGATGTCCACTGCTGCGACACCGGTGTCTTCGCTGAAAACTTAAGCAGTGCTTGTGGACACGAACAAGCGAAGCTTTGCTGTATTGCATGACCTTTGCAATGAGGCGCATATATTTCTCATCTTCTGATAAGCTTATTTGGAATGATAAATGGAATTTCATCTAAGTTCAGAGTACAGTGGATTAACGGAGGCATTGATCCGTGTGCAACGCATTGAAGAATATGAAAAAGTGAATGTCTGACTCACCTACTAGACGCGTTCGCTTCGTCCGGTAAGCACAAAAGGATGGGAGCAGCACAGAGCTGTAATAGAAAAGTGATGAGTTAAAAACGTGAGCACACGAGGTAGTCCCTTAGTGTAAAAGTTCCGGGGTTATCACATAATGCGATTAACTAGTTAATATAATAGGAGCACTAAAACGATGAAGGAAAGGTCAGAAAGCGTACCGACAGTGCCACCGCGGAGTCATCAGAGCAGAAAAGTCAAGAACAAACCTGCACAAACTGTATCCACAGTCAGCGTTAAGTGGGTTCCTTCATGAGAGCGCAGGAAGGATAAAATAACATTTACATCAGAAATGTCGAAATCTTTTGAAGACTGCTTACGCGTACTCAGATTGAATAAAAGTGACAATGCAAATTAGTATGTGACAGCACAAACTTGCGCAACATTCGGTACGGTCTTGAGTGGCCGAGTAGTCAGACTATGTGGGGTTCGAATGGGGAACACAGTTTATTAGTATCAACTGCTGAGCTGCTAACCACATTTGCGAAAAAACACTGTTATTACGAACACGAATACTGCAGCACCATGGCTGCCGTTGTGCCAGCGCAAAAACTATGAGTCACTTTATTCTGAGGGAAAGATGGAGCGAATGATGAAATTAGACCAGTAAGGATCACGAGGCCCCAACTGGGTAGCCAACACCAAATGCTACCTACTCTTCATCAATAACCAAATACAAGGGAAAATTGGCTTGAAGCGCTAGATAAGCATTCGTCCAAATGATTTTTCTGATTGGTTATTAGCTCCCCTAAAAACCGGTATAGGCGCAAAAGTTGCCGATAGCAACTTTCAAATAAAGGAACGGTAATCATTTCGGGAAAAGGAAAGAACCATTAGGCTTTGAATGGATGCAACAATAAGACCTTTGAAAAAAGATGATTGGTCATACTCTCGCCGATTCATCGCTACAATAATCTGCTTCACAGTGGGTTTGACGTTCCGTTGCAGTGGCTAACATTGTGAAGTCAAATATTCAATGACGCAGTACAATGCTTGGAAGTATAAAACAGCTGCGACGGAACGTACCAACATGCTAGAAGCAGAAGGTGTGATTTAGCAAGGTTGCGGGAACCCTGTAAAGTTACCGCACGTAAAATATTGGCCGCATTATGGGAAAGTGACTCAAGTGTAGTACTCGATGGCTCACAGTAAAATTAATTTTTACTAGGCGGTAGGATAGTGTGTACAGTCTGAGGCTTTCACAACGTATTTCATACGGAAGCTTTCGTAGACTCGGTATCATTCTAGTTGCGATATGCTGCATTTTCTCCAGCTTTTCAGTTTCCCATTGGGTTATCGGATGGTAAGCTGGGGCACCGTATTCAAGGTATGGTGTGTTGAGCGAGGTGAATAGACGAGAGACGGTTTCTTCGGACCATGTGGAGAAACTGTGTCTTAATGCCTAGAGCATACCAAGTCCCGCACGGTACAATTTCGCTGTATTTTCTAGTGATCTCATATCATGTCATGAGAGAAATCCTAAATCCCTGACAAATGTGTTAGGGTGGAACAACTGGCCGTCCAAGATGTATGATCGAGTGGCTACACGCCTGGTGATACTGATGAACTCCGACTTGCTTGCGTTAAGAGGAAGTCGCATTTCAGTGGACCACGTTGGCAGTCGCTCTAAGTCATGCTGGAGGCGAGCGCAGTCGTCCTAGTTCTCAACGATCCTCCAGATTTTCAAATCATCTGCAAACAGGGCATATGGTGACTGTAGCTGCTGCGGAAGATCGCTGATATGAATAGGAAATAATACTGGCCCAAGTGCAGTTCCTAAGCACGCCACTGGTCGATGGGAACCAGTCTATCAGGTAGCCATTGACCTGTACTCTAAACTTTCGTCCCACAGTAGACTGGTGTAACTATTGTAGTAGCGTGCCACCGATTCCGTATGCCCTCAGTTTACCAAGGAGTATCTCGTGGTTCACTCTGTCAAATGCCTTACTATAGTCGATGTACACCACGTCAACCTCCTTCCGTTCGTTGAGAGTTCATACCCACTGGTGGTTTGCGTACATCAAGTTGGTGATGCAGGACCGCCCTTTCGTGAAGCCGTGTTGCGCTGTCGTCAATACGTCCTTCGACCCAAATAACGACAGCATAGATTTTTTCACAACCTTCTCGAGAACTTTGGATATCGAAGTCAAACAGATCGGTCTATAGTTCTCTACTTTACTCAATTCACCAGTCTTGGGAAGCGGTCTCACTATCGAGCATTACCAGCCGTTGGGGACAGAGCCTTCAGAGAGTGATTTATTGAATAGGTTTGTCACAGTTGGTGAGATGATATTCTGTAGGGATTTAAGTGATAGTGGGTGAAGTCCATCTAGTCCGGAAGGATTTGCACCATGGAGGTTGATGCGTAACTGATACACTTCGACTGCATCACATTGTAGGCTGTCGAGCAAGACTGGCACAACCTGTGCTGGTACCGGAACAGCCGCCGGTTTGCTGAAAAATACGGTGAGGAAGTGCGTAGCCAAGGCGTCCGCGCGCTCCGCGCTTGAAATGAGTGTCTGTCCGTCCGGTAGGTCGCCCCCAGGTTTCAGTTGAGGTTTCAAGTAGGCAAATATTCTTTTGGGCGCAGTTGTGACCGAGGATGCTAGCTCTTCTTCAAACTGTCGGCGTTGTTTGATCAATGCGACATTTCCTGAGTTATGCTGTTTCTTGTATACCGTGTAATCTTCATCACAACACGAGCTGATGTATCTATTCCACAGTTTGTGACACCGTCGCGCTGTCTATAGTCCGAATCAAACCAATGCGGTTTGACAGGTCCGACTTTTGAATACTTCAGGGGAACGAACCGAGTACACAGCGAATTAAGCTTCCACTTCATTAACGACCAACAGGCCTCAAGAGACGCATCCTGTGGTAGTGTTCAATCAATCTGACTTGCGGCTTGGACGAGCCCGTTGAAGTCCACCTTCCAATAGTTGAATGTCGGCTTCCGTTGGTTGTAATACGGTAACGGCAGTTCTATGCTTGCCACAATGAAGCAGTGGTCACTGTTCACCAGAGGTTCGAGGACTCTGATCTCGTTCAGCTTCTGCTCGCAGCTCGTAAACATTAAGTCCAGACAAGATACCGAGTGCGGAGTTACGCGCGTCGATTAAATGACATGTTGCGTTGCCCCGATTTCAATAGTCATTCTAGCGAGTTGAGCCTCAACGTCGCCATACACTGGAAGAAGCCTAACGTCTGGCCAGAACATTTTAGGTAAATTTAGATCCCCCATCAGTAAGAATTGTGAACGGCTTATGTGCTTCTGTATAGGTGGTAGCCAATTGCAACAACGACTCAAGGGGCTACGGTAGATAAGACCCACTATTAGTTCTGCGCGTCTGAAGTGGATTGTGCGCCACAATTGCTCGCATAAGTTATCCTGGCTCCGATAGGAGCTGGTAAGTTTGCCAGATAGTGACGAATTAGTGTACAACAGAACATCATCGTGAGCCTTTGATTTTCGGTCGCATCGGAAACAAGAGTATTCTGACAACGCAACTTCTTGGGGTATGACGTCGGAGTTCAGCCAAGTCTCTGCAGGTCCTAAAACGTCCGGCCACTCCGAGACAGCGAAGTGGCACAGTTCATCAGATTTGTTTATTAAGCTGCACACGTTGGCGAATGCCACACGGAGATCCTGGGAAGTACCGTGGGAGGTGCATAAAGGTTGAGCTACCGGTTGATAGAGGTTCGTACACCCTTCTTGATCACCCGAAAATTTATAATTTGTAAGTCAGTCGCACCTTCGTCTGTACGGCGTTTGAGCCCAAGGATCGTAGTCTTCAAACGATTCCTGTCTTCGTGTTCTCAGTCTCGGCGGATGTGAACCTTTATGCCTTTCAAGCTTGATAGACGAGACAGTATGATATAGTGAGCTTCAAAGGCAATTCTCAGAGGTCGAAATGATTGGTAAGCTTTCTGGCTAAGTCGGATTACTTGTTTAATCGTCACACTGTCTTCACCCACATCCAAGAGTACATCGATGAGCCCCTGGAGGAACTCAACATCGTGATCAAAACGTATCTGAGGGTTTGCATCTTTCCACTCTGATACCTGGAAGATCATGAGATTATGACGCCTAAGTGAAATCGGTGACGAACCTGTGAGAGCAGGACTAGAGGCGCTTATCTGTTTGAGTTGTTGTTTATCAGCAGGGGACGCCTGAACTCGATTACCTGGCCCCTTGCGCTTTTGTGTGGTCCATTGATCCTCGGTGTTCAGAAGTTCACAGATAGACTCCGATAAATTCACGGAACAATCAGTGAAGAGGCATTTTGTAGGTTCTGAGTTTTCCATCGGTGGGAAACAGTGAACCTGAGACTCGGCCGGGGTCGAAGACGCTGGTGATGGTGCAGATAGCGGAGTGACAAGGGAAGGCGAGGTGACAGAGTTACTTTCATGAGGGCGTTTGGCCCCACGTGGTGAACGGTTTGTTTCTGTCTGAAAGAGAGGTTTTCCCATAGTTGGTGGTGGTTGCTGTGTATTTCGATGTCTTGCACCGCGACATTTATCAAATATAACTTGGAAAAACCGATCTCGAATGTCGAGATTTTCGTAACACGTCAACGGATATGCCAATGCACGAAATATGGAACAAAAAGTCGCAGCCGAAGTGCATGTGCCTAATGTCCCACAACTTTCGAACACGAATCACAAGTAGCTTGAGACGGCATCACAAGGTAGAGCAAATCTAAGATGGCGGACACAGATGGCAGGAGGGCCAATCAATGAGATCTCCGGAATGAGCCAAAGAATAGTCAGCAAATGTGTAGTGATTAGAAAATATGCCAAAAGAAGAATACTGGTGCCCAATTCACGCAGAAAAAGCACTTATAACACAGTAATCTGAATGAAAAGTAGTATCCAGCACACTGTGAGTCAAAAATCCACGGCGTCGGTGGGTACAGTTCTTCGGGACGGGAGTGAGATCGCATCGGCGTCACAGGTGGCGGAGATTGGTACAATCACATCAAGGTCTTGTTATACGGTACGCTATCTCGTACTCAAT